TCGAATGAGATGATCAGAGTCAAAATCTAAAATTTTTCGGCAGCCACGATGGTCGGTATTCTGGCGGATCCTCTCTTAATTCCTTCTCACTGCGTAAAAAAGGAATTAAAAAAAAATGTACGTGTAAAATATGTAATCAATATATTCCATCAGTATATCGTATGAAAAACCATTATAAAATTCATCCACAACATCATGAAGATCTTGATCATAATCAAGATGATACATTAACACTACCAACAGCAATAACTGATATAACAACAAAATTCAAATGAAAATCAATCAACAACAGAAACAGCACTTGTGTTTAAAACAGAAATGTTAGATTGGCTTCGATCAAATTTTGATGATTGTAATTTGAGTCCAACATCAACTCAAATTGTCAGTGATCATGTTACACGTTCAATGAAAAAATTATATGTTCAAGAAAACAAAGATGAACATGGTTGTAAAGATTGTGTGCATGTAGAATAAAAGTATTCAACATGTTTATTTGTCTACAATATGTTCATTTTTAATTATTATTTAAGTTTAACTTCTTATAGTCTTATCTTTTTTTTTTATGATTAATTCTTTTTCAATTTTCACATTGACTTATATATAACTTTATCAGTAAAGTTAAAGTTTCCAATATTGTTATTATAATCATAGTTGTGACTATCTAAAGCGGATGATAAAGAAGTATTACTTACTGATTTAGGTATATGTATACATACAACTGAATTTGACTGACCAATAGAATTACTCTCCTCTATGTTTGCGATGAAAGTAAAGAAAGAAAATTTTTTTCTTTTCGAATAAAAGTTTAATTAAAATATGAATTTAGCTTCAAAAACATCTTATATCTCGTCGATTAGAATCTATTAGACAGTTATGTAGGTATTGATCGTATTATTGAGCCACACCCGTTCAAACTTTCTCACTATACAGTTCAACACTTTTTTTCAATCATATTTCACAAAATCTAGCTGAAATTAGAGATTATATGTAGTTGATATACGAGCGTACATGTAAGGAATCCAATTAACAATAGGTTTTCATTTGCATTGGTTTGAATCGATTGTTATCAACGTCGATGATGTCTTGCATATTCTTCGATTGAAAAAATCAAAAAGTAATGTTACGCTTTACAGATCGATACATAGACTCAATATATTTGTCGTCAATCGATTGCTTCTTTCTATCATCAATGATTTTTTTATGATTGACAGAGAAAAAAATCCATCTAGATACTGTCAATTGCCTAGACTCGATGCAGTTGAATAAACAACAATCAGCGCAATATGATGATTCATTAAATGTGTCTTCACATGTTCTATTGTTTTTTAGTAGTATCTTTCATATTTTATCACTCTTATCAAATCACACACGTATTTTTCAATCGTAGAAATGATCTTGCACAGTGAAAATATATGTATATATAATTATTTCTGATTGATCTAAGCATATTGAATTATTTCTTGTAATCAAAAAATTTCTTACATTAAAAACTACTTTCATTTTCTTATTCCAACAATGTATTATTGTAGATCAAAATAGATCATTGAATCTTTTCAAATCTTGACACAACGCTGATTAAAACATGGCTCAAAACAAGTTTCGTCTATTTGTCTATTACTTGGCTATATTCACTCTGAGTTTAGGAGCATTTTATTCATTTCATCACTTAACACGTAATCAACCTGAAGATTATATGTATATACAAAAGTGTATTCTTTGTGCCATTTCAAGTTTCTTTAATATGTTTGTATTGTACTATCATTTTACTCACGCACCACATCCGAAATTTGTTATCTTACTACGTCGTCGATTTGTAATTTATATACATATTATTTCAGGTGTCCTAGAATTTACTAGCTGTTGGGCAGCATTTCTTACTGGTAACAAATATATTGCTACTATTGCTGCTCTAACAGCTATTTTTGGTCATGTACCTTCGGCCTATTATCAAACATCAATTGGTTTTGGTGCTAAAGCCTTGATGGTTGCTGGATATCTATTTGCTATATCACTTCATCTATTTTCTGCATTACATCTATTTATGGAACCGACATCAGTTTATTGGTTATTGAATATGTTTCTTGTTCATAATATTTATGTTTGGTGTCGTGTATTCTATTTCTTTTTTGGTTTTACTGGTTTATTTAAAGATACAATATATACAAATACAGTATTAACATCAGGACTTATTTTATTTCCAGCTGTTCTTGGTGTTTCAGCGAATATGTTATTTTTTAGGTTATGTTGCAACTAGTATTCTTCTTTATTTTGCTATTGTTCAACCAAATGAAGAAGAACGTGTACGCTATGTAAATGAATGTACACGAGATCTTCTTGTTAATAGAACGGTTCATAATGCTTGGATAAAACAACAGGAACGATTAGCAAAATTGGCTCGTAATGATGAATTGTCCGATCAACAACGAGCTAAACAAATTTTTGATCAATTAGATGAAAACAAAAATGGATCTCTTGATAATGAAGAAATTACTCGTTTATTACAAGAATGGCAAACTGCAACAAGTTTTATCAATCGATTTTCACGTTTGTCAAAGAAACAGGATATGTCATTTGAATTATTCTATAGAAATATTTGGCGTCTTGGTGAAACTTCTATTGGTCATATACAAGATGGTATAAAACGACAAGGAATGGCAAGAGCACGTTTCATTTTCGATTGTTTGGATACAGACAAAAGTGGATATATTGATAATCTTGAACTTCAAAAACTATTAATTCAATGGGGTTTACCAGAAAATGAAGTCGAAGATTATCTCGCTGATGATGGTGATAAAAAATTTTCATTTGAAGAATTCTATGAAAAATTTAAACCAATTTGGGGTTTTGCCTATGAAAACATGTCTGTTCGTGACATGGGTCAAGTCGTGCAACCACCAGATCAGAAGTTACAATAGTTAGAAAGAAAAGGCAAACCAAGAAATATTTCTCTACAAAAAGAAGACATCATACTCATTGAACATCTTTTATTATATCATGATTTTTATTTTTATTACTAATAAATTTTAAGAATAGATACTGATTTATTCTAGCTTAATATTTCTAAACTAGCAATTTAATTTTTAAAATTATTTAATCATATCAATTCTAAATAAAATGTCTTTCGGAAAAAAAAACTCAACTGAACTTGTCTTGTTTCTTTTTCGTATTTGGATCTTGTAGAATTATAATTGATTTCTGATCTCGTTATATTCATATATATAAGACATTCTATGCATAGATATAACTATAAGTTATTCATTGATGAATTGATCATTTCATCCATGATTAATTGTACATTTGCTTATTATTAAATTTATCATTTGGTTTTCTTTTTTCTAAAGATAAGACAATTCAGTGAATGGATTCTTGATATGATATGAACATAATTATTCAAATATGAGTGAACGGCTGATAATGATTGTTGCAGTGCATTTCTATAACATATATCTCGACTCTATCTATTCTCTTTTCTTTGATATTTTCGTTTTTGTTATTTCATTTCTACTGCTTTTCTTTGTCCTTATTTAACCTTTCTATTTTTGTCCTTGTTTTTGATGTGAGTATATAAACATTTGTTTTTTCAAAGAATAAACAGAGATAGAAGAAAAAACATACATCTTAACAGTGTTCGTCGCTCTTCGTGAGCGCAAACTTTAACAATAATCAATTATGATGTGTTATTTATTTTTTTATTTGATATTTTCATATGAATAATGATTGAGCACGAATTATTAACGTTCAAAAAGAGTCACATTTCACCAGTATCTATCTTTACATGATGTACAAATATGAAGAATTTTTGACTGTGAAAGAAATCTATTCATTATCAGAAAAAGAATTAATAAAGAAAAAAAAAGGAGTGTAGTTGAAACAAGATAATGCAAAAACAACTGAGTTTGATCAATTAATTGATATATGTTAGTTAGTCATATTTGATTTATTCTAAACTAGAAAAATATTAGAATGAAATGAAGAAGAAGTATTTTTTCAGAAAGAAAATAACTTAATTTAAAATAATAATTATGTGATTGATATGAGACAAAAACAATATTCATATTTGATTTAGTTCTTTTTATTTAAATTCTTCTGTTTACTTTGATTTTCTTGTTGATCTTTTCTAAGTACAACAACTGTCCAAGTCGCTGCCATTGCATCACCAAATGCAAATAGAAGTAAATTCTGAGGTGAAATACCAGTTATAACCATAGAAAACATAGACAATGCAGCTAAATATCGCATAGTTACAGAAAATTTAAAACAAATCACAGCTGTTTCTCGAACCATGAGCAAATAATTAGCACCAAGAATAGCAACAAGTAAACCAGTCATACGAACAAAAGTATCATTATCTGCTTTCAAATCCAATATAGTTAAGATATGACGAGGAAAAAAAGCCCATGATAACACCTCCTACAATAATAAAGTAACTACTAAACACAAGCATACTGATCTTAGTGCGTCTATAAATTAAAACAATTTTAATTTTATTCGTTCAATAGTGAATACATCAATACAAATCGTAATTTTCATATACTGATCTTTATCAAATGAATTTCAAAATCAATAAAATTTTATCATAGAACTCATTGTAAAGAAAAAACTCAACAACGTTGGATTTATTTCTTTGCTTTTTACTTCGTTATTTAACATGAGATTATTTGACAATGATATGATTTGAAGGTTATCAGAAAACACAAAAGTAAATCGTTAAATTATGCTTATCATACTAATGCAGAACATACAGTAATAATGTCACTTTCTTTTCTAAATTGATGGATTTTGTTTTTTCCTCATGTGTATATGGTTATTTCTTACAAATGAGAAAAAAAAGATGTATACATCACTTCAGTGATCAATATTTTCATTAAAAAAATGCTATGAGGAATATGATCATCGAACGAGAAAAAACAAAGACATATGTTTAAGTTCTGTTCTCAATATATGACTATATGTGAATTTGCTATTTTTGCTTGGAATAAATTTGTTCGATAAAAGAATGAGACATTAAAATTAAGATTTATTGATCATCGAAATTTACCATTGTTCTGCAAAAAATAAGAATCTGAATAATTCTAATCTCAATGATAAATCATCTCAAAAAAGAAAGTTCATATTTGTTAATTAAAAAATTTCGTTTATGAAAAAGTAAATAATAAAGACGATAATTACCACTGAAATTAACCATTCAAAATAATTTATTTAATTATCTATTAATAATTACATTCATCATGATATAGAACTAATCAATATAAATCTAAACTCAAATGTCATTGTCATTATCATTATGATTATGTCAATTGATTCAATGTTTCTAAAACTTTGATACTCTAGAAAGTTTTCGATTAAGTCATGAAGAAAATATTTATCACTTCTATTTCGTTTGTTTCTTGAATACATTCATTCCATTGTGTTCGACAATGATTATATTTTTTTAAAATTTGACTTGTTTAATAGTTTGTTAAAAGTAAACTTCAAATGTAATAACAATAGTAACAATTAATAAGGGTGTTGGCAAGGGTGTAGGCCTTGTCTTTATCTCCATCCACACGCACACCCCGGTTCGATCTTGAGATCTCTCCGTCTCGAGTTAGTCTTCTCTCGATCATCGATCGAGATCGGCATATTCTCGATTAATAACTAACCGAGAAGTAATTTAGAAAAAAAGATACGAAAATACACAAGTGTTGCATGTCCAGTCGAGTCATCTATATGTAGCTGTATGTGCAAAGCAGAACGATGAATGAATAATCAGCAAACAGAACACAACAAATTCCTAACACGAGACATTTTCGTGAGAGAGCCCGCAACACATTATTTTTGTGTGCATCAATTATTTTTCTATCATTTCTATTTGTCTCACCCATCTTATCATTAGTTATGAATGATTTTATCGTGAACAATATGTTTCGTTGATTTCTTACTCAGATTTTCCTCTCATTACATGCATTTCTTTCTAATCTATTTGAATTAGATCTGATCATCCGATAGATTTGACAAGTAAAACAGTAGTTATCATCCCAATTATACCAAACATCTCTTAATAAAAGTGAAAACAAGACATCAATATCATTTTCTAACTCTCATATTCATACTTACTCATCCCAAAAAATCATCGTATGAAAACCAAAATAGATAGAATATTGATCGATATTAACTAAGACAAGCAAATTTACTCATTTACTTCCTTGAGACTTTTCTATTGATTATAATCAAGTTTGTTCTCTGTAGATACTCATAGATAACTTTATTTTTTTCTTGTCTTCCCTTAAAATAGTGTAAAACTGACATTTTTATATTGTTGATTCAAATATACTGATATCAAATTTTTATTGATGATTGAATGAATGAAAGAGGCAAGAGATACTTTATTTTCTTACAGAAGGCTTGAAAAAAATTTCTTTTTTTATAGGGTGTTTGAAAAAACGAAGCTCTATCTTTCTGTACTATTTCATTCCTATTTAACTAGTATCATAATAATAAAATTTCGAGAAGAACTAGTTTTGTATAAAATATTTTCATCCATGTACATTTTTATTTTTGGTTGTTTCTTTGTTCTTCTCTTATCTTTCCTTTCTTCTTTCTTTTCTCGTCTCTTCTAATAGCTAATCTTTCATAAATATGGTTCACGTAGTCTATCACAGGCAATAGTAGTAAAATAAAATAAAAAAATATCAAACAAGTTCAGCAACTTTTTATTACATCAATACACGATTAAATTTCACATATTCAAGAAACAAACTGGACAGGTATCTTAAAATATATATCTATACAAATCTGTATGTGAAAGACTAGGCATTAGAAGAGACGAAAAAAGAAAGAAGAAAGGAAAGATAAGAGAAGAACAAAAAAACAACCAAAAACAAAAATGCACATGGATGAAAATATTTTACACAAAACTAGTTCTTCTCGAAATTTTATTAATATGGTACTAGTTAAATAGGAATGAAATAGCACAGAAAAATAGAACTTCGTTTTCTCTGTCATCCCATAAAAAAAGAAAATTTTCTCAAGCCTTCTCTAAGAAAATATTTTTGGGTATCCCTAAATACATTGTGATTATAAATGATTATATTTATAATTGTAAATAATGAACGAGTAAAAGAGTACCCATGTCGTCACTTTTTTATAGATACCGCCGGTCTCTGACGGTTTTTTCACTTTAAAAAATTTTCAATAAAAATATAGGTATAATATTTTGTTCTGATAAATATACATTTTTTTCTTGATAAAGGAACTATCAGACAACCCCATACATCCTTAAAATACCTAAATTGTAGAATTTGACAGATAGCGCTGTAAAATTTTATCATTCGTAAACACACTCGATAATGACTCAGTGATCAACTGTTATTCTTTTTCATTTTGTAACTTCTTGTCACATAAACTAGAAGATTATTTCGATTATTCCCTGTAATGTATACTATAGAATATTAATAAACTCGAAAATGAACGTTTACTTTTTCGTGAATTATTATTTTCACATCTTGCAACGAAGATGAAAACTTCAACTGTTTTTTTTCTTTTCATAGTGTGTGCATATGATAAGACAATATGAAAAATAATACAGCTTAAGGGGATACACAAATTCCACTGCGAAATATATAAAATCAATTTTTTAAATAAATTTCAAATTTAACGATCATTGGGTAATTTTTTATAACTTCTTTTAGAGAATAAGATCCAAAGGATGTTTTTTTTAAGGATCGAACTAAGCATCCATGCTTATTTTTTTTTGTGAGTTTTTTTAGGTTGGTTATAATTTTTTTTTATTGAACACTATCATACATCAAGTTTTGAATTAATAATCTGTTGATGGATACACGTAATGTTCAACTGATCAATGTGTGTCAACATTTATTAATTTTTTGTAGGAAAATCTAGTAAGTCGTATTATCTAGAAAAATACTTGATAGCT